CCTCCGCCTCCTGGGTTCAGGCAATTCTCCTGCCTCAGCCTCCTGAGCAGCTGGGATTACAGGCACGTGCCACCATGCCCAGCTAATTTTTTGTATTTTTTTAGTAGAGACGGGGTTTCACCATGTTGACCAGGATGGTCTCGATCTCTTGACCTCGTGATCCACCCACCTCGGCCTCCCAAAGTGCTGGGATTACAGGCTTGAGCCACCGCGCCCGGCCTTAATTTTTTGTATTTTTAGTAGAGACGGGGTTTCACCATATTGACCAGGATGGTCTCGATCTCTTGACCTCGTGATCCACCCGCCTCGGCCTCCCAAAGTGCTGGGATTACAGGCTTGAGCCACCGCGCCCGGCCGATTTTTGTCTAGTTTCTTAGGGAGAAACTGATTTTTTCCCTTCCCCAGAAGTTCCACTTACTTCTTTCTTTTTTCTTTTTTTTTTTGAGACAGAGTCTCACTGTCACCAGGGCTGGAGTGCAATGGCCTTATCTCAGCTCAGTGCAACCTCTGCCTTCCAGGTTCATGTCAGCCTCCTGACTAGCTGGGATTACAGGCGCATGCCACCATGCCTGACTATCTTTAGTAGAGAAGGGGTTTCACGATGTTGGCCAGGCTGGTCTCAAACTCCTGACCTCAAGTGATCCACCTGCCTCGCCCTCCCAAAGTGCTGTGATTGCAGGCATGAGCCACCATGCCCAGCCTCCACTTACTTCATTAAAGTGACGTTGGAGCTATTCCTTAAGGTTATTTCCTAATTTCATTCAACCTCACTGGAAAGAAGAAAACAAAAAAAATCCTAATTTGGTAATGTGAATATTCATATTTGGTACTATGTAGATAGGCCGTATTTTTTTGTTTCCAAATCTTAAGGTGTCAGCCCACTGCACCCTCTGCCTCCTGCGTTCAAGGGATTCTCCTGCCTGGGATTACAGGCACCTGCCACCATGTCTGGCTAATCTTTTATAATTTTAGTAGAGAGAGGTTTCACCATGTTGGCCAGGCTGGTCTCGAACTCCTGATCTCAAGTGATCTGCCCACTTTGACCTCCCAAAGTGCTGGGATTACAGGCGTGAGCCACCACACCCAGCCCTAAAAAAATTTTTTAAAGAGGCGGGCATGGTGGCTCATGCCTATAATCCCAGCACTTTGGGAGGCCGAGGCAGGTGGATCACAAGGTCAGGAGTTCTAGACCAGCCTGGCCAACATGGTGAAACCTCGTCTCTACTAAAAATACAAAAATTAGGTGAGCGTGGTGGCACATGACTGTAGTCCCAGCCACTCGAGAGGCTGAGGCAAGATAATTGCTTGAACCCAGGAGGCAGAGGTTGCAGTGAGCCGAGACCATGCCATTGCACTTCAGCCTGGTGATAGAGTGAAACTCCTCTCAAAAAAAAAAAAAAATTTAAAGAGACAGGGCTGAGTGTGGTGGTGGCCCAAGCCTGTAATTTCAGTACTCAGGTAGGCTGAGGCAGGGGAATTGCTTGAGGCCAGGTGTTTGAGACCAGCCTAGGTAGCATAGCAAGACCCCATCTCTACCAAAAAAACAAAATTAGCTGGGTGCAGTGGTGTGCATCTGTAGTCCTAGCTACTTAAGAGGTTGAGATGGGAAAATTGCTTGAGTCCACAAGTTCAAGACTACAGACAATCATGATTGCACCACTGCACTCTAGCCTGGCCTACAGAATAAGACCTTGTCTTAAAATTAAAAAAAAAAAAAAAAGGAGAGAGAGAGATTGAGACAGTGTCTCATAATGTTGCCAAGTCTAACCGCAAACTCCTGGGCTCAAGCAGCACTCCTACCTCAGCCCCCAGAGTAGCTGGGATTACAGGTGCATAGCACCACACCCAGCTATGTCTCCAGATGTTATAACAGAAATTCTCATTCAAAAATCTTTATTATAAAATGTTTCCACTTATTTTGTGTGATACTCAGTATTATTTGGGAAGTCCCTTGAAGGTTGTGGGAGTGTTTTGAGAGATATAGTATGTTTAGTGTGAGGCTAGAGTGATGAGGATACAGTTTGATAATCTTTAATGGGGCTTTTCCATAGAACTTGTGTTGGGAAAATAGTTAGCTTTTATAATATTAGAACAGCTATTAGCATGTTAAGAAAGGTTTCTCTGCTGACTCTTGTATTGGTAATGTTTGTTGATAGGAGAGAAGGAGGCCACATATGGTTAAAACAAACAAGTGATCCTAATACTCTGCTGTCCCTTTCAGCTGGTTCTTGGCCAGCAAGTCAGCCTAGTTTATCTTTTTTTTTTTTTTTTAAACCAGTACATACTTAGTTGCTTTTATTGAGAGTAAACCAGGAGAACATGATTTCTCATATTATTATTTTTTTTTTTTGAGAGTCTCGCTCTGTCGCTCAAGCTGGAATGCAGTGGCCTGATCTCAGCTCACTGCAAACTACCTCCCGAGTTCAAGAGATTCTCTTGCCTCAGCCTTCCAAGTAGCTGGGATTACAGGCACTTGCCACCATGCCTGGCTATTGGCTAGTTTTTGTATTTTTAGTAGATACCAGGTGTCAACATGTTGTCCAGGCTGGTCTCAAACTCCTAACCTCAAGTGATCTGCTTGCCTTGGCCTCCCACAGTGCTGGGATTACAGGCATGAGGCACTGGGCCAGGCCAGATTTCTTATATTAGAAAGTCAGACAGTGTGTTGAGGAAGAACTCAGCAGTAGGGAAAAGAGTAGAATAGATACAGATAGACATTTATGTTGCCAACTTGAACAAGTTCTGAAAGCCATTGACATAACTTCTGCAGGTTCATATCCCACATATTTGCCCAATAAAATATTCCATATGCTGTTAGCTTATCCCTGACAGCAGACATTCATTTTACAAGAAGATGGTCTAGGCTGGGTGCAGTGTCTCACACTTGTAATTCCAGCACTTTGGGAGGCTGAGGTGGGTGGATTATGAAGTCAAGAGATTGAGACCATCCTGGCCAACATGGTTAAACCCCATCTCTACTAAAAATACAGAAATTAGCTGGGCTTGGTGGCGTGTGCCTGTAGTCCCAGCTACTTGGGAGGCTGAGGCAGGAGAATTGCTTGATCCCAGGAGGTTGAGGTTGCAGTGAACTGAGAACGCGCCACTGCACTCCAGCCTGGTGACAGAGCGAGACTCCGTCTAAAAAAAAAATGCAGATGGTCTATATGTGCCATAATCATCAATTAATTTTCAAAGTTGCCTATAAAAGAGGTGGAGATGTTTGTCTTGGCTCCCACTGAGGAAAAGGAGATACATTTTTCCACATCCAGTTTGCTTGGATCCTGGTTGGTAAAGATGTACCAGGCCATGCAACTAAAATGATTCCATGGCAAGGATATTGCTTGATGCTAGTTGTTCATTTACAGGTAGCTTTTGAAAATGGCTGCCTCTCATTTCACCGGGCTCACAGCTGTTGCTGATGTAATTAAAGATCTAGACACTCAGATAGCTGTAAGTAAGTTTGAGGCTACTGTGGGCAAAACTTGGTGAATGTGCTTCTGGTTGTCATGACACCCAAGCTGATGCCCATAGAGTAAACTTCATGGCTCTAAGATTCAGGAGTCTCAGCTGCTTCAGGCTAGGGTCTCTGCATGTACTTAGATTGCTAACACTCAGAGAAAAATTGCTCTTGATAAAAAGGAGTTTACTTTTAACAACAGCTAAAAGTTACGTTTTTGGGGCATACCCCTGACATAGACTTAAGCATGTTTGAAATGCCAAAATGAACTAGTCTGTATTGTTAAGCTTTGTGACTGATTTTTTTAAAGGATGCGATTGTGCCATGACTTATTTGAATTTAACATTATTTGATACTTTAATGCATGTAGTACTTAACTATTTTTACAAAGTTCTCAAAAATGTCTTTCTTATTCTAGTTTATTTTTATTTTATTTTATTTCATTTTCTTTTTAGACAATGTCTCACTCTGTCACCTAGGCTGGAGTGCAGTGGTGGTATGATCACAGCTCATTGCAGCCTCAACTTCTTGGATTCAGACAATCCTCCTCCCTTAGCCTCCCAAGTAGCTAGGACTACATGCTAAGTGGGTCCAGCTAAGTGGGATTTTTTTTTTTTTTTTTTTTTTTTTTGAGATGGAGTTTCATTCCTGTTGCCCAGGCTGGAGTGCAATGGTGCAATCTCAGTTCAACGCACCCTCTGCCTTCCGGGTTCAAGCAGTTCTGCCTCAGCCTCTCGAGTAGCTGGGATTACATGTGCCACCATGCCTGGCTAATTTTGTATTTTTAGTAGAGACAGGGTTTCTTCATGTTGGCCAGGCTGGTCTTGAACTCCCAGCCTCAGGTGATCTGCCTGCCTGGGCCTCCCAAAGTGCTGGGATTATAGGCATGAGCCACCATGCCCGGCCCCTAAGTGGTTTTTTGTTTGGTTTGTTTGTTGAGACAGAGTCTCATTCTGTTGCCCACGCTGGAGTACAGTGGCATGATCTTGGCTCACTGCAAGCTCTGTCTCCCATGTTCAAATGATTCTCCTGCCTCAGCCTTCCCAGTAGCTGGAAGGGATTACAGGAGTGTGCCACCATGCCCAGCCAATTTTTTTGTATTTTTGATAGAGTTAGGGTTTCACTGTGTTGGTCAGGCTCATCTCGAACTCCTGACCTCAGGTAATCCACCCACTTTGGCCTCCCAAGATGCTGGAATTATAGGTGTGAGCCACCATGCTCAGCCCCAGCTAAGTTTTTGCAGATAGGGCTTCCCTGTGTTGCCCAGGCGATTCTGTAACTCCTGGGCTCAAGTGATCCACTTCAGGCACCCAAAGTGCTGGGATTACAATGAGCCACTGCACCCAACCCTAGTTTATTTTTGTACATAAGATTCCTTATTTCATTTACTTTCTTCCTTGTTTCAATTTTGTGGACAATTTTGTTTAACATTGAGAGAAGAGATGGTTTCTAAATGTCAGGTGAAAGCAATAACCATTCTTCATTCCCTCAATTTTTAACATATAGGTATTAAATGGTCACCATTCCATATATACTGAAGAACTCTCAAAGTCTAACAGACGTGATTTTACTTACTTTTTTTTTTTTTTTTTTTTTTTTTTGGTAGAGATGAGGTCTCGCTATGTTGCCCAGACTGGTCTTGAACTACTGGCCTCAAGTGATCTGCCCACCTGGCCCTCCCAAAGTGCTGGGATTACAGTTTTGAACCATTGCACCAGGCCTCTTTTTACTCTCAAGACTCACCCTTTATTACAGGTTCTTCTAGAACTAATTCTTGTGCTTTTCTTCTTCAGTTAATTGGCCTTGGTCCTCACAGCTCCAAAAAGAAACAGGATCTCGATAAGCTCTATGAGCTGAAGTCCAAAGCTCGGCAGATTATGAACCAGTTTGGCCCCTCAGCCCTAATCAACCTCTCCAATTTCTCATCCATAAAACCGGAACCAGCCAGCACCCCTCCACAAGGCTCCATGGCCAATAGTACTACAGTGGTAAAGATACCAGGCACTCCTGGGACAGGAGGTCGTCTTAGCCCTGAAAACAATCAGGTATCATCCTCTTACTCTTTCTTCCCTGTAGCCACCTCTTATGTGTTATTTCAACCTGTAATACTTAAGATATGTCCATCTTATATGCTGCCTTTTTCTCTTAGCTGAAAGGGTCTTTTCCCTTTTGTGGATTTCTTTGTTTTTTGTTTGTTTGTTTGTTTGTTTTTTTGAGACGGAGTTTCACTCTTGTTACCCAGGCTGGAGTGCAATGGCGCGATCTCGGCTCACCGCAACCTCCGCCTCCTGGGTTCAGGCAATTCTCCTGCATCAGCCTCCTGAGTAGATGGGATTACAGGCACGCGCCACCATGCCCAACTAATTTTTTGTATTTTTAGTAGAGACGGGGTTTCACCATGTTGATCAGGATGGTCTCGATCTCTTGACCTCATGAACCACCCGCCTTGGCCTCCCAAAGTGCTGGGATTACAGGCGTGAGTGTTTGTTTTTTTAAGGCTAGTCAAGTTTGTTTGTTTTAATGTAAGTAGAGAGTTTATTTGGGCCAATTTGAGAACCCCAACTCAGGAGACACAGATTCAATTTGCCCTGAATATATGCTCCTCTAAAATTCTTTAGCAAATTATCATGTACAGTGTTTATCAAGTTTTACTTTGTTGTATATTGTTGTATGTATGCATGTATACATCCATCCATCCATCCGTATACACTAACACAATACCTTGCCTGTGATAGGTTTTTTCTTTCATTTTGATAGGTGTTTTATATATATGTTAACTATATAGTTGTTAAATAACATAATTGATTCATTTTTCCTATGATGGAAATACTCTTGGTTCTAGCCATTCCGTCTTCTAGTTCATCCAATTCCTGCCATTATTAATTTTCTGCAGTGATTCTAAAATCTGCTCCCTTCTTTCTACCCATAATTCTGATTTTGCCTCCAGAGCCACAAGAAATAAGTATAATCTCTTTGACTTGGGTTTCATAGGCTGTGTAGAAAAAATGAATGAGTTGGCCCAGTATTTCAAGGGAATGAGTGAAGGAACTGGCAAAGGTTAATGAGGGATGGTTGGGCAGACAATCAGGAGATCAGCCTCTTTTGAATATGGAGTCTGTTGTAGAAGACAGAATTTAAAATTGTATAGGTAGCTGGGTGTGGTGGCTCAAGTTTGTAATCCCAGCACTTTAGGAGGCCGAGGCGGGCAGATCACCTGAGGTCTGGAGTTCGAGAGGAGCCTAACCAACATGGAGATCAAGACTATCCTGGCCAACATGGTGAAACCCCATCTCTACTAAAAATACAAAATTACCTGGGCGTGGTGGCACATGCCTGTATTCCCAGCTACTTGGGAAGCTGAAGCAGGAAAATTCCTTGAACCTGGGAGGTGGAGGTTGCCATGAGCTGAGATCGTGACATCGCACT